GCGGAAGGTAACAGGCGGCCCGGGGCGGCAGCACCCCCTCCCCGCGCGGCCGCGCATACGCACACCCCCCCGGGGCGGGGGCGGCGGCCGCTTCGCACCAGGGGTTGGTGCAGCTCCTCGGCGCGGCAGCAGCAGCAGCAGCCCCGCGAGGCAGAGGTAGAGGAGAGGTGCCCGCCAGCCACGTGCAGCTGCTGGGGCTGGTGATTCATCGGGCCGGAGCCGAGTGCGTGTGTCAGATGGAGAGTGGGTGACACATATAGATATCTAGAGGTCTGTGTCTGTAGATTGAGGTAGTGGGGGTGGCAGGGCCGGATTAATGCACAGGCCAGCTAGGCACATGCCTGGGGCCTTGACGGAAGGAGGGGCCCAGCTGTGCTTTTTTAGGTATTATAATCATGGAGTGAACAGAAGTAGGGGCCACGACCTTGTTAGCCTACACCCACAACAAGGTTAATCCAGCCCCGTGTGTGTGTGTGTGTGTGTGTGTGTATGTGTGTGTGTGTACATGTTGCATGCATATGTATACACACATGTCTGTACTTTTATGCTTATGCATGTGCCTATTTGCTTGTGTGCGCACGTGTGTGTGTACTGGAGCCAGAGCTGGAGAGTGGGTGAGCTAGATATAGATATCTAGATGTCTCTATATCTAGATCTATATCTAGTGTGGGTGTAGACACGTGTATGCATGCACATGTGTACTTCTGTGCATATGCATGTGCATATTTGTGTGTGTGTGTGTGTGTGTGTCTACACAGGAGCCAGAGCTTGAGAATGGGATATTTGTGTATACACATGCACACTATGCCCTCTATACAGATTTGACTGTGATATTACAGAGGTACTTTCCTTTTCCTCAAAAGAAGATGCATGCATGCACACGTCTCTATATTTGGTGAGGTGTTATATATATGGAGGTGTGTGGAAGTGCATACATACATGTATAGGTATGTAGTGTGTATATATACACACATACAGGTATGTGTGTATTTGGTGAGGTATTATGTATGGAGTGTGCATGCATGTATATAATATATGGATGGTTGGGGGGGTGTGTATGTGCACACATACCTATGTGAGTGTGCATGGCAGTGGTATTTGTGAAGGTGTGGGGGGCTGTGGATGTGTGTGTGTGGGGTTTCCAGCCTGGGGGGGAGGGTCCCTGCACACCACCTGGCAGGATGCGGGGTACCATGGGTCACAAATGAGAATCATCAGCAGGACAGGGGGCTGTGGCTTGGGAATGAGGAGCAGACACATAGCTCTCAGCTGGTAAGTGGAGGGGAAGGGGCAAGAAGGGGGTGGAGATTGAGGCCCCTGCAGTGAGGGAGGGAGTGGGGCAGGAGCAGGGGCTCTGGTGAATGGGGCCCTGAGGCTGGGCTGGGTCATCTAGAGGCATGGGGGAAAGGCGTGGCTTCCTGCAGCAGCACACATCCCCCGGGGAGGCATGGGGACAGAGGCTGGCTGTGGTTCTGTACCCTGCTGCCTTTGCCCCAGGAGCTTAGCCATGGGAAGCCAGTGTGCCTCTTGTTGCCAGGTGGGCAACAGATGTGCAGCACGGCCAGTGTGCCCCATGTCCCCTGCCTGCTTTGTAGGCAGCCATGGCATCATGCGGCTGAGCTCCTGGGGCAAGGCAGTGGGGCTCAGACCCCAGCTGGCAGCCTGTCTCTGTGCTGTGGGGGGCATGTGCTCTCAATGCCTCCCCTGGGGGTGTGTGCTGCTGTGGGGGGGCTGCGCCCCTCCATCGTGCCTCTGGATGACTTGCCCTGGGGCCCCATTCACCCCAGCCCCTGCTCTTGCTCCACTCCCTCCCTCACGGTGGTGCCTCGATTTCCCCTCTTCCCTCTCCACAGACTTACCAGCTGGGAAAATCCAGAGATCTGAGGGTTCAGTTGGGAGATTGTGAATGGGAGTTACTTTGACTTTGAGTCTTGCGATGGTTTCATAACAGTTGGCATTAGTGTGCGTGTCCTAAGATTTCTGTCCTTTCTGCCAAATACCTGGAAATGAAATAGTTGCAGATTTAATGTCTAGGGGCTGAGCAACAAAGATGGATCAGTGATGAGAGCAGTTGGATCAGTGATGGACTTCCAGCCACCATAGCTTTTTCTTTAGATAAAAAATGTGTTTCTGCAACGGGCTTGACTGTTAAGTTTTTTGTCATTGCCACACTGCCTGTGTTGCTGAACCTGCTTTTAGCCTTGTAGTAAACTTACATTAGACAAAGAAAGATTTCCTAATTTTTTTTCTTCTAGGTTTCATAAATTGGGATATCTTGCCATGAATTGCATTTGGGTTCTTGGTACAGGTGTGATGAACATACTAATGAGATTTTTTAGGTAATTTCTGTACATCAGGCTTTACATTATGAAAAATAATGCAGAAGTTCCTCCTTAGTGATAAGTCAAAAGACCAATATGGAGTTTACCTTTATTCTGTGTGTTAGCCATGCAAAAATTTCTGTTGGTGCCAGAGGTGCAAAATTGGACTTTCCCATTATTATGTCAAAATGTATATTTTGGAAATGATACTTGTATGTATTTGTTGATCCCTAGCTAATACGTCTCACACCATGTTGGGGTTTTTTATATATGCATTAGATAATAAGATCCAAGTAAAAATTTGTTTTTATTGCTGAAAGTAACAAATTTAGGCACTAAGTTTTTCTCTGCTGCTGTTTTAGAGACACTTTCTAAACAGATTTGGAGAACCTACATATGTTATGCCATTGAGTAATAATAATACTCGGAATTTAATTGTGAGTTTTTCAGAAGTGCGGACGAAGTATATGTGCTTGTAGTATTTAATGGTACAAATTCTAAGCCGGAAGAATGGGTTTACTCTTAACTTGATGGCCTCTTAAAGGGATACTGTCAGCTTGGGATCAGTTCGTTTTTGTAAGTGTGTTTACACTTTGCCTTAGTTGATCCTTTTTTTTTGCAGTTTTCCTCTAAATATTGGGTATTCTGTTATAGTCAGACATCTGATTTAATATTTTAGTTGTAAATCTTTTATAAATATTCATGCAGTACAAATGTGAGACATTAAATGCTACACAGTAGTAAAAAAAATTTCTTACGTATTTCTTACTCTTTTTTTTTTTTTCAATTAATAACCTCTAAATTATAGTAAGCAGCTATTATATTACTGCTGTTTCTGCAGTTATAATTGATAAAGCCTCCTCAATATTTAGAGGGCAGTTATCCTGTTGAATATTGGAAATGAGGTCAAAGTTAAGACCTAAATATTAGGCCACAAGTTCAGCAATTGGCTGTAGAGAAGGACCTGGAACAAAGCCTCATTGGGGTTTGTCCCTGTGGGGCTGATTGTGGGCTAGGGCTTCTTGAACTTGTGTGAGAGAAAAGCTGACCTAAGAACTGAGGAGGTAAGCAGTAGAAAACAGGAAATCCTCACGGTCCTAAGATCTTGAAATCTCAGTTAAATCTTATGAAACAGTCAATTTAATTATTATGGGGGGATGAAGTTGGGGTAACAGAGCAGTCTGGGGTGGCTGAAAAACGGTGTGGGTAATCTGTTTTAGGGGTTATGTTTTCAAAAACCTTTGCAAGTAACTTCGTATTAACTGTGAAAATTTGTCTATATCTTCTTCCACTGATCCTTAGTTCTGCCTTTTCTCATGAAAGAGGGAAGGATTCAACTTAAATTTAGTTAAGGTTAGCAGATAAGGGTAGATGTTGACTCATCAATGATACACTGTCCCTATTAGCTTTAATTTCTCATGGCTTCAGTAGGGATTAAAATAAAAATGAGGGAGGGAACAGTGCAGTTGAAATAAACTGAGTTCATAAAAATCTGTTTGTTCAAGAATATGTTGGAAGCTTTCCTTATCAAATGCTATCCACTTCTGCAAAATCAAATTTTTATCTTCAGTCTCCTGCAAAAAGCAAGTTTCTTGTCTGTGATTATGAAGCATACCTATCAAATCTGAGAACCAAATGTGCAGGGCTATCTCTTCTTTCTGAATGGAGAGAGGGCTCAGATTGATCAGTCCTCACTGCTGTTTTTCTTATGTTGATGAGGTGCAACTGATAAAAATCAGGACAATTTAAAGTAGGTAGTGCCTGGAACAAGTCTTAGAAGCAGTCAGCTATTGAGTGGGGAGGACCCAAAAAGAGATTTGGAGATGGATGAAGTGGGGGGTAAGGAATGTCACCTTTGCAAGAGGTAACAAAGGTGTTATCTGAGGGGTGGGGTAAAGGGAGAGAATGCTTTTTTCCTTTCCAGGGGAAAGGAGATTTGGGGGGGGGGTATGGGGAGGGCACCAAATCAGACATGTATTAGCTGGACACTGCTAATGAAGTGTCCAAATAGGTTCTTGAATAGTTCCTTGGTTGGATGCCTAATACTCCCTTATTTAGCAATGATTGTTGGGGCTGGCTTCTTATCTAACATTAGTTTTTTTTCAAAATTATTTGCATTGTTAAAGCAACTTTTAGGTCCCCATTATATTCCTAATCTTACTGTTAGGACATTGCATTTATACTTGATATTTGTTCAAATAATTTATTTGGTAAGTACTAGTTTGTATCCAATTATAATTCTACAGCTCATCAAATACCATTCAGCAAATATTAGAATTCTTAAAAGCCTTCGTCAGAAGTAGGGGCCCTGTTGTGTTAGCGTTTATGCAAACCCTGATAAAGACATTTGTCCCCACAACACTACTGTGCAATAAAGTCAAGTCATTTGTTTCATTCAGCAATTTAGCTTAATTTT